CTCAAAAAAAAAAAAAAAATTGTTCAATTTATTTTGGAGCATTAGATTCTAGTCAAGGTATGTCAGCGATTGTCTGTGTAAGTCATGAATGAATTTATGAAAGGGAATTTATACAAGAAATGTTGTGCAACTTAAAGGTGATTAGGCCTCCTAAATGCTTTATGACTCTTGGCTGTACAGGTTGCCTGCTTTACAGCTAGGTCAGTCCTAGGACACATGGAGTTAGACGCTTGAATAAGTCAGACCTTATCTGCACTTCTCTCTAGGTCCTAGGCTCCACACCTAGTACATAATTAAAATTCCAAACTTACCAAAGTTTTCACCAAAAGTAAAGTTTGCTAGGAGTTAACAGTGTAATATGTATTTAACACTATTGAAGAAAGAATTTACATGCAAGGCATATAAGGAAAGTAAAATATACTTTTGGTAAAAAGATTGTTAGGAGGCATGAGAATGTGGATTTTGCCTAGATTAAAAGATTTAAGGATTGTTTTAAGTTGGATAAGATAAAGATGAATGTTTAAGCAAGCTGTGGAAGGTTGATTGTAAAGGAAATACTGTGTGTAAACATATTGGCTAAAGTTAAAGGGGCATCATCCAGTTTTTTCTGTAAATTGAGCATTAAAATAAAAGCACAATGGGTTTCCCTTAGAGCACTAATCTGCACTTTAGCAAAAATTGTAAAGGGTTATAAAAAGTCTATAAAAATCTTACCTTATAATCAAAGATTAAAATTGGGTAAGCATGCCCAAAAGGTTTTATTAAGAATTAGGTTTAAGGCCGGGCACAGTGGCTCATGCCTGTACTCCCAGCACTTCTAATGCCAAGGTGGGTGGATTGCTTGTGGTCAGGAGTCTGAGACCAGCCTGGCCAACATGGTGAAACCCCATCTCTACTAAGAATACACACAAAAAAATTAGCTGAGTGTGGTGGCACATGCCTTTAATTCCAGCTATTTGGGAGGCTGAGGCAAAAGAATCACTTGAATTCAGGATGCAGAGGTTGCAGTGAGCCAAGATTGCACCACTGCACTCCAGCCTGGGTGACAGAGTGAGACTCTGTCTCAAAACATAAAATAAAATAATAAATAAATAATTGGGTTTAACATTAATAGTACACTAATGTAAAGGTGAAATTTGGCTCATTTTGGTACCAAAAATCATGCAGGAAGCATTGCCAAATATAAAATGGAGTTTGGCTTTCTTTGGGCTATATTTGTATAAATATGTTATTGGTATGTGTTACAAAGTTATGGGAGACTACTATAATTCTGGTATATCTTGGTGTATGTTATCAATAATAATTATATATATATATTTTTTGAGACAGAGTCTTGCTCTGTCCCCCAGGCTGAAGTGCAGTGATGAGATCTCAGCTCACTGCAACCTCTGCCTCCTGGGTTCCAGCAATTCTTCTGCCTCAGCCTCCCAAGTAGTTGGGACTACAGGCATGTGACCACACCTGGCTAATTTTTCTACTTTTAGTAGAGATGGCATTTCATCATATTGGCCAGGCTGGTCTCAAACTACTGACCTCGTGATCCACCTGCCTCAACCTCCCAAAGTGTTGGGATTACAGGCATGAGCCACTGCACCTGGCCATTGTTATGTTAAATTGTTGTGTGCCACAGAGGTAACAGATTTCTTTGTCAATTGGGTCTTTATGACTACCCTAAAACTTTTTGTTGTCCATAAACAATTGTTGTCTTGTTTTGGTACTCTTTAGAAGGTGGTTTTATAATTAGCTATAAAGCTCTAACAGGTGCTCTTGAATGCAGGTTTCTGACAACTTTAGAAATTATCAGAATAGAGGAATAGAGGAAAAATGTTCAAGACCCTTTAAGAGCTAAAATATTCATTAATATCAATCAGGACAGGAATTAACTGCTTGAACTGAACTAATAGGAGACTGAAGTGATCTTTTTGACTTTTTGCTTAAAATGTTGCTAATCCTTTGTTTTGCTTTTCAGAGTGAAGAAAACTTTTCTTTTGAGCTATTAACAGCTTGTAACAATTAAGTAAAATATACTCCTATGAACAAAATTTGGAGCATATTTGTTTCTCTCTACCTGATTTCTCCAGAATTTGGAAACTATTTGTAATACAGTTATTTGCCTAAGTGCAATAAGAATCTGTTTTCTTTTGTAACAGGATGCAATTGGAAAAGCTGGCTATTTTGCCAAGGCTTTGACTGGAATGGTGTGTTCTCCTTTAAGGAATCAAACTTTACTTATGAGGCCAATAAAGCCCTTGGAAACTGGCCTCATATTTTGTATACACAGTCCCTGCACAGGGTTTCTGCTCTGTGGTAGGTAAAGAATGTCATTTTCTGACAGGCCAGGAACCCCAAATTATCTTGGAACCTCAAGAGGAGAGGAATTCACCCAACTCATAAGTATTTATTGGTACAAATCCATGGCTGGGCTTGGCTTTAAAAAGTCTTATCTCAGATTCCTTCTATGGAACAAAGTTGCATTAAAGCCAATTTAAAAGCCCTATATGAAAACTAATTATTCTTGCTGCACCTTATACAAATAATTAAGCCAAGTATAATAAAGCAAACCAGTCCTACCATGATCAGTCTTTTAATAAAAATAGGAAACTGCAGAAAGAAAAATTATGTTTCAAAAACTATGGCTGGGTGCAGTGGCTTGCACCTGTAATGCCAGCACTTTGGGAGGCCTAGGCAGGCTGATCATCTGAGGTCAGGAGTTCGAGACCAGCTTGGCCGACGTTGTGAAACCCTGACTCTACTAAAAATACAAAAATTAGCCAAATGTGGTGGCACATGCCTATAATCCCGGCTACTCAGGAGGTTGAGGCTGGTGAATTGCTTTAACGTAGAAGGCAGTGGTTGCAGTGAGCCAAAATCATGCCCATTGCACTTCAGCCTGTGCAACGGAGTAAGACTCTATCTCAAAAAAAAAAAAAAAAAAAAAAAAAAAGCACACCTTTTGGTTTTTTTTTGTTTTTCAGTTTTTATTATTTTCTACAGTTTGGATTAAATTCTAACTTTTCTGGGTACAGATCTCCAAAATAATGTTTTCAGTTTTTTCCTCCTTCTTTTCCTTTTTCCCCATTCTTTCTAATTGGTAATCACTGAAACCTAAGCCATGGTTTCTTAAAGCCCTGCAAACTGAAGACTAGACGACTTAAACTTCAGAAGAAAAGAGCAGTAGCCTATTTATATGTGTTGTTGTGTGCTATTATGTTTCAGCAGGCGCTGCCTCTAAGGCCCCAAAACAGAGAGTGCTACTGGGAACAAATCGACCTCTTCCACTCCAGTGCTGCCTTTGGCGCCCCATAATGATGACCCCCTCTCAGCAGGAAGCAGCCAGAAAGATTATGACTCCTCATCTCCCTGTGATTCTCGTGATACATGAATATACAAGCGGCCGGGCACGGTGGCTCATGCCTGTAATCCTAGCATTTTGGGAGGTCCAGGTGGGTGGATCACCTGAGGTCAGGAGTTCAAGACCAGCCTGGCCATCGTGGTGAAATCCTATCTTTTTTTAAAAAAGAAAAAAAATTAATATATAAGCATGATAGGAATCATGTGCAAATTGACAGTGGAAATGGCAGGCAGGTATCCCTAATTCAGACCTCCCTAACGACTGTTTCAGAACTGACTGAGTGGTTAAGTTAAATATCAAAAACCAGTGCCCTTGCTGGGCACAGTTGCTCATACCTGTAATCCCAGCACTTTGGGAAGCTGAGGCATGTGGATCACGAGGTCAGGAGAGCGAGACCATCTTGACCAACATGGTGCGACCCCATCTCTACTAAAAATACAAAAATTAGCTAAGCATGGCAGCATGTGCCTGTAATCCCAGCTATTTAGGAGCCTGAGGCAGGAGAATTGCTTAACAAGGGAGTTGGAGGTTGCAGTGAGCCAAGGTTGCGCCACTGCACTCCAGCCTGGTGACAGAACGAGACTCCGTCTCAAAAACAAAACAAAACAAAACAAAACAAAACCCCAGTGCCCTTGTAAAAAGGCTGGGATGTGACAAAAGCCCACCAAGGGTTTTGCTAGGCCTTTCCTGAACCTCAAAGCATCATTAAACAAGTTTTATCGGGGTCTGAAAACCCAACTCCCCAAACCTCCACAATTTAGGAGACAAGATAAGGGTAATCACCCCAGCACCTGGACCCATTTAGATTAAGTAAAGTTACTGAGGCTCCAGAAGAAGGTCTTCAAGGCTCAGACCTTAGTTATAGATTAAAAGAAGTTAATCGCTCATGTCTTTAGATGAATGCACACTTACGTATAGACATAGAGCTTAGAAGGTATATAAGCTCTGGAAAACTTTGTGATTTTGAGTTGGCCTGGTGATAATTTCCAGGCCTTCTCCCTGTAACTGGTCACAGAAATAAAAAACTTCCTCCTCAGTTCAACTGCATCTCATTATCAGGCCTTGAAAAATAGCAGCCCTAACCCTCAGTTTGATCCAGGAACAGTGGGAAGCATGAAAATACAGACCCCCAGGGGTATGCAGCTCTCTGAGGCTCATCCTCACAGTTGGGTTGGGTGCTCTGTGGGGGAAATGACCCACCCGGGCATGTGGGTGCATGTCTGTCTCCCCGACAAGATTGGGAGTGCCTCACAGACAGGGGTGGAGCCTGCCCTCCCTCATTTCTCCAGCCTCTAGGACTGGTACTCAGGAGGTGTTCAATGGAGGTTACTTGACTAGAAGTGACTTGGGAAGGAGTGTGTGTAGGTGTGCATGTGTGCACACACACATCTGCTTCAGGGCAAGGTGTCATTGAGAAGCATTTGAGGCTGGCCCTGGGAGAACAGACCAAGGGCCAACCAAGGCTGGGGAAGGAAGGGGTCCCAGAGAGAGTTTCAGGTGAGAAGGTTGTTGGCAGCAATGTTGGTGCATGTCCACTAATCAAAGGGGGGACCTGCGTCCTCTTGTGCCAAGGGCAGGTGGGAGGCACTGAGGACCCAGAGGGTCTGATCAGATAGGTGTACTTATCCCAGGTGGGAGGGGGACCTACCTGCCCTCATCAATGAGGTCGATGGCCAGGGTGCTGATGATGAAGACACACAGGCCAGCGATGAACATGTGGTAGATGGTGCGGAAATGCTGCACCTCCATCAGCTCACTGGAGGGACAGGGGCCTGAAGGTCAGTGTGGGATGGTCCTCAGGGTCGTGTGAACTAGCTGACACTGTACACACGAGGCATGGGGACTAGCGATCCAGAACCTCCAGCTAAAGGCCTTTCTTCTACAGCCATGCCCAGGGCGAATGGGGGACCCGCAGCTTAGAAACCCCTTCCAAGTCCTCCCCACAAACCACCTAGAGCCTAGGGATGAGAAATGAGGTGATCTTGACCCCCAGCCCAAGCCCTTTCTTTTCCTCCCATTACCTGTCTTCACCCCGACTTACTCAAGCAGGGACTTGCGGATGATGAAAACTTTCTGTTTTCCCAGGGATGGCTCCTGGGTCCTGAATTGAGACGTTTGTTCAGGGTCAGGAAGAAGTCAGTGGGCAGAGGGCAGGGCCATGCAGAAGGTCAATACTTGGGAGCCAAGGGGAGTGGTAGGGGAAGGTCAGAGCCAGGGCTAGTAGGCAGGACCTGGTGGAAGGTCACAGCCAGGGCAGAGTGCAGCCCAGTAGGTGGAGGCCAGTGTTAGGAAGACAAGATAAAGGGGAAAGAGGGAAGGCTGGAGTCCTAGTCCTGCCAAGGCTTGTGAGGGTGCATAATGTGATGTTTATAGCTCATGATCCTTGCTACAGAGGAGCCCACGAAGCTGTTCGCCAGACTCACCTGCTCAAGGAGTCTGGGGGAGCAGGGGGCAGAGGTTTGTGCTGTGATGGGTAGGATTGTATGGCCTCCCACATGGCCTGATCCAGCAGCTCCTTCAGCTGTCCCTGCACTTGCTCCAGCAATTGTGCCTTCACAGCCTACGGGACAAAGCCAGGGCAGAGCCCACTGTCCCTCCAGTCAGCCATCCTTTCATTCACCAGACATCCACTGCGTTTCTACCTATGCCAGGCACAGTGCTTTTTAAAAGAAAAAACTAGGGATGGAGGGTCAGCAGGGATGGAGGATCAGCAGGGGTGGGCCTGTGGGGAGAAGGGCAGGCATCCGTGGGGAGATCCATGATGATGGGTCTGCCGGTGGGGAAGGAGCCCACAGTACTAAGTGCTGCGAAAGATGAAGCCGTGATTCCTGCCCAGATCTGATCTCCTTCTGGCTTCCCAGGGCAGCAGTGAGGATCAGGGAGTGACAGCAGGAGCAAGGCTTCCACTCCCTGGGTCTGACTTCCAGCCTGGTCACCTCTGATCTTCACTCCTCACCCCGACCTCCAGCCGCACTAACAGGAAGACTCTATCTGCTGGCTTTTGTTCCCTGCCCTCAGGACTTGTGCTTCAAACCCCTCCATCTTAACCCTAATTCTCTTTTTTTTTTTTTTTGAGACAGAGTCTTGCTCTGTTGCTCAGGCTGGAGTGCAATGGAGTGATCTTAGCTCACTGAAACCTCCACCTCCCAGGTTCAAGCAATTCCCCTGCCTCAGCCTCCCAAGTAGCTGGGACCACAGGCGCCCACCACAATGCCCAGCTAATTTTTGTATTTTTAGTGGGGACAGGGTTTCACCATGTTGGCCAGGATGGTCTCGATCTCTTGATTTTGTGATCCGCCCATCTTGGCCTCCCAAAGTGCTGGGATTACAGATGTGGGCCATGGCACCAGGCCTTAACACTTAATTCTAACCTGATGTTTGCACTCAGGAACAAGTCATCAGCTGGGCACGGTGGCTCATGCCTGTAATCTCAGCACTTTGGGAGGCCGAGGCGGGCAGATCACGAGGTCAGGAGATTGGGACCATCCTGGCCAACATGGTGAAACTCTGTCTCTACTAAAATTACAAAAAATTAGCTGGGCGTGGTGGGATGCACCTGTAGTCCCAGGTACTTGGGAGGCTGAGGCAGGAGAATCATTTGAACCTGGGAGGTGGAGATTGCAGTGATCATGCCACTGCACTCCAGCCTGGCAACAGAGGGATACTCCCTTAAAAAAAAAAAAAAAAAGAACGAGAACAAATCTTCAGGCTGGGTGCCGTGGGTCACACTTGTAATCCCAACACTTTGGGAGGCCAAGGTGAGAGGATCACTTGAGGTCAGGAGTTCAAGACCAGCCTGGCCAACATGTTAAAACCTCCATCTCTACTAAAAATAAAAAATTAGCCACACCTGGTGGCGCTCACAAGCTACTTGCTTGAACCTGGGAGGCAGAGGTTGCAGTGAGCTGAGATTGTGCCAATGCACTCCAGCCTAGGAGACAGAGCAAGCCTCTGTCTTAAAAAAAAAAAAGAAATCATCTTTATCACCAAGCCTCACTCCTGCTTCCTGCTGCTGTGGATTTGTCCACTTGACCTCTGACCTCTGACGTCCCTCACCTCCACGTGTCGGGTCCATTGCACCAAGTCCGGGGCTTTGTGCGTCTCAGTGTTTCCTGGGAGGAGGGATCAAAGGCACAGTCAATGGTAGGGGTTGGGGTTCTGCAGACCCAGAGGCATCTGGTTTTCAGGAAACACTTTCTGTGTGCTCAGCAGTCGCCCTGCACCCAAACCAGCCAATATCTACTATCATGGGTGGGGCTACCAGAAGGGGAAGTTGCTGTTGCCAGTGGTGAGGAGGCCATAGGCAAGCAGGGGGCCTGGGGACATTACTGGAAACAGGGCACTCAGGGAACGGGAAGCTACTCTATTCACCCTCTGGGGTTAAAGTGTCAGAAAGATAAGGCCAGGCCGCAGCTCTGAATAGCTCCTTCTGTTCCATCTCCCAGCTGGGTGGCACAGCGTGGGGGCCAGGGTCTGGCTTCCTTGGCCTTTCAGGACAGCAGGAAGGATTGACATTAGGCTGTCAGGCAGTTGGAGCCTCCTCTCCACAGCGCTGTCTCCCCCCCACTACGTCCCACCCCGCCCTGCCCCGCCCCGCTGGTGCCTTCTGCACCCCCCAAGGGCGGCTCACCATCTCTGTCTCCACAGGGTCGCCACTCCCCATCGCTGTTTCCACAGGGTCGCTGCTCCTGCTCCCCTCCCAGCCCTTCTGTCCTCTGCAGACGCTGACGGGTCGCGCCTGGCTCCATGGTGGGGTCTCCGGCGGGCAGCAGGCAGCCCTGGCCTGGGTTTCCTCCTTCCTTCACTTCGTGGCCCGGCAGAGCTCTTGTCCTGCTCAGCTCAGGTGACAGCTCCAAAGACTAAAGTCCTTTCAGGAGGAGGGGGCCTCTGGGAGTGCGATATGTTATCTGATCCGGAGGGCAGAGCTTCTCAGATTCGGGCCGCTCTGCTGCCTGTTGCAGGGATGGCCATATCCCTAACACCTCCACCATCATCCAGATACTCAGCTCCCAGGGTGCTACCCCCCCAACAGGAATGGTGGCTGGGTATGTCACTGTCACAGGGAGGGGAACTTCACCTCTCAGAAGCTTGTCACCTAGCATGGCTGGCCTTCCAGTCTCTCCCCTAGCAGGCTGAAGGTCAGGGAGGAGTCAGAAATTTATCAGTGCATTCAGCTCCCTTTCACCACAAGGTGTGTGATTGATGCATGTGGTAATATTCTGATGGGGTTGGCACGTGATACTCAGGGCTGAGTGCCAGGGCCCCTGAACATCTGCGCTTCCTGACACCTGCGTGGGTGAGCCTGTAGGCAGAAAGGAGGCTCAACATTTTTTCAGCACCTAAGGAAGAAGTCACATACAGAAGAAGCAGATGCAAACCTCCCTTTGTCATTTACCAGCTGTATAATTTCAGGCAAGTAACCCAAAATGTTAAGCCACAGTTTCCTCCTCTAAAAATGTGGGCAAAAATCCTTGTATCACAAGGTTATCATAAGCTCAGAATGAGTTAGTCCAGGTAAAATCACACAGTTCAGGGCCATGCGATGAGCTCATATCTTAGCAATAATGTGCTGCTTTTTTTAGTAGGAAGTGACAGAAGGCTACGTGCTTTGAGAGTTCCTCTCTGCTGGGTTCCTGCTGGGATTAACTATTAATCCTTCCCCTCCCCTTGGGTCCAAAGATCAGTGTTAGAAACAAGGTCACAATTTCCGACTAAGGCCATGATCTCAGTGTCTCCCCTTCCCACTCCCACCTCCCGGCGGGCAGCTCTGTGAGGCTTGATGGCTCGAAGCCTCTGCCAGTGGCTGCTGCAGGAAGGACTGGAGGTATCCATGGGAAAGGAGGAATGTGTGGGTGAGCCTTAGGGCAGAGAAAGGGTCAGGGGCTCCAGAACTGTGAAAGGCAGACACAGAGACACAAGCCAGCAACCCCAAACACAGCTTTATTGACACCAACACTTTCCAACCACATGTGTACAGGCCCAGTGTGAGGGGTCCAGGGGCAGGGCCCGCAGGGGGCCATGGGGCTCGGGTTATTTGTCGAGTGATGAAAGCTCCATGTTCCTGCCAGTAGCCCTGCAGTCCCCCACTCCTCAGCTTTATCGCCTACTCCCAATGGGGCAGGAGGAGCTTCCGTTGCCATCTGGAGACCCTGGCAGGGGCTGGCCCATCCGATCCACACACCAGCAGGGACCTCGGCGCTGGCCCTGGGAGGAGCGGCACTGAAAAGAGAGGCACACAGGTCAGGGGTGAGGCCAGAGGCTTCCAGAAGGAGAATGGGAGGGGACGCCCGAGTCTGAGGATGCAGAAACAACTGAGGGTCCCCTTGGGACAGCGAGGCCCACTGGGTTCTGTCTCCTTAGTTCCCTCTCTTCAACCTATAAATTGTGTGCATCCTGCTAGCCTGGAACAGTAGTTTTCAAAGTGGCATTCTCAAATCTGCATCACCTGGGAGCATGTTAGAAATGCATATTCTCAGGCCCCACCCCACACCTCCCGAATCGGGAATGCTGCGGGTGGCGCTCAGCTATCCGCTGTGCATAAGTCTTCCAGAGGACTCTGATGCCTCAAGCCTGAGAGCCACAACTTTAGACCAGTCCTTAAGTAGTTTCAGTTCAGTTCTCTACGTCAGTGCGTGCTTGATTACTCTGTATGTTTATATAACAAATTACATTATTCTCTATGCTCTCCTAAAGTTGGAAGATCCTTAAAGATGGGGCAGTGTCTTAGTTATGCAGCTATGGAAGCCCCACTGCCCCCACTCCCTGGCAGGAGCCTTCTACTGGAGCAGGGGGAGGGGAGGAATAGTCTCACCTGCCGCTTCCGATAGAAGCCGCGATGGTCACAATTGGGCACGTAGAGGGTTTGAGTCCCCCGGTAGACCGCAGTATGGAGCTGCTGCAGCACTGAGTCCAGGTGTCTGCGGCATGGGCCCTGGCGGAGGGGGAGCAGGCAGCTTAGAACCGCTCCAGCCCAGCTTTCAGCTCCAACCCACTGGCCCACCAGGGAAGCACCCAGGACCGACAATGGAGACATCTCCAAGCCCAAGGGACCAGCCTCAGATGGAAGTCTCCAGGGCTCCCCACCCCTCCTGCTCCCTACCAGCCCCAAACACACCATCTCAGTGTCTTGGACACCTGCAGAACTGGGCTGGGAGGGCGTGGTAGAGGTGCCTGGATTCCTCTGTCGGTCTCTGCGGTTCACATCCTGAGGGCGGGCAGTATCTGCTTGGGATTTACTCTCCTTAGGATTCTTCTCTGCAACTACAGAAGGAAAGGAGGAGAGGCCAGAAATCAGCCAGAGCCATGAGGAAGAAGGGCCTTGCCCACATCACCTACTGAAATAAGGAAGAGTGGGCCTTATGCCCCGTTGTTGCATGATGCTGGCCCTAGCTTCTTTCTCTGACAAATAGTTACATTACTTTTCCTGACAATATTTCCCAGAGTGCTTTTAAGGCTTATAAGGGAGATGTATTTTGAAAAAAAAAAAAAAAAAGGAGAACAAGGATGGGTGCAATGGTTTATGCCTGTAATTCCAGTACTTTGAGAGGCGGAGGTGGGAGGATCACTCGAGCCCAGACGTTTGAGACCAGTCTGGGCAACATAATGTGACCCTCATCTCTACAAGAAATTTAAAAAATTACCAAGGTGTGGTGGTGTGCAGCTGTAGCCCCAGCTACTTGGAAGGCTGAGGCAGGAGGATCTCTTGAGCCCCAGAAGCCAAGACTGCAGTGAGCCATGATTATGCCACTGCACTCCAGCCTGGACAACTGAGAACCTGTCTCAAAAATAAATAAATTATTGGCCAGGCGCAGTGGCTCATGCCTGTCATCTCAGCACTTTGGGAGGCCGAGGCGGGCAGATCACCTGAGGTCAGGGGTTCAAGACCAGCCTGGTCAATATGATGAAACTCTTTCTCTACTAAAAATACAAAAATTAGTCAGGCGAGGTGGTGGTGCCTGTAATCCCAGCGACTCCAGAGGCTGAGACAGGAGAATCACTTGAACCCAGGAGGTGGAAGTTGCAGTGAGCCAAGATTGTGCCACTGCACTCCAGCCGGGTGACAGAGTGAGACTCCGTCTCTAAATAAATAAATAAATAAATATTATATAAATGAATATAATTTTAAAATAAATAATAAATGAAAAATGGAGAACAAATTCACAGGACTATTTGGGGCTTTGAGCTTTGAATGAAAAGACCTGGCTGTTCCATCAGAGGCCAGAAGGGGGCGCACGAAGTCCGGGAGATGGGGCAGAAGAGCAACGGATGTAGGGTGGGGCCAACATGGCCCCAAATGGAATGTGTGTCCCTGTTGTGACCTTGCTGTGACTCAACCCACCCCTCCCAGGCTTGAGATGTGGCTACTTCTTGAGTACTGCAGTGGGAACCTCTCCCTTCTGGTACCCTGTGGCTCAGGCCAGCTCAACCCTACTGGTCCCAGGAGTATATGGATTCAACTCTTAAACAAGACAGGCTGAGGACAGGTTAAGATGGTGCAGAAAAAGAGGGGCTTCCAACCTGCAGGTCGTTCCTGGCTCTGGAGAAAGTTTCCAGAGGGTTTGGGGAGAGCTCAGGACTGGGAAGTGGTGAGGAAATAAGTCAGGGCTAGGAAAAGGCAGGAAGGGGAGCATGTACTGCTTGGAATTTGCCTAATATCAAATCAGATATCAGAACCCCTAAAGGGATCCTCTCTCTCCCTCTGTGGCTAAAGACAAGCTCCCAGCTAACTACCACTCATAACCCAGAAGACATTTCCCCTGCCATCCTGAGTCTGACCCTTCTTCCTCAGGATGCCCACCCTCCCCAAAACTTGTCCTTCATTCCCTACATTTAGCACCCAACCATTTAGCTTCAAACTGCCTCCCCTCATCCACCCAGCCCACTTCTAGGAGGACGCCCGGAAGCCTGCAGTCACGCATTTGGGACGGAAAGAACCTCCGCATTCTTCCATCTCTTCCCGTGGAAGGCACTCAGAGCCTCTGGGATGCGCAGTTCGAATTCCCTGCCCTCCCTGTCTCCCCGCTGCCCCCCATGTTTTCAGTGCTGATTCACTTCTGTCCCACCCACCCAGTGACTCAGCTTCTGCTCTCCTCCCTGAAGCAGGGTGGGGTAGGATGGGTGAACGGTTCTGAGCAGGTTTAAATCATAACCCCGATTTGGCAGATTCCCTCTCCCCGCCCCCCACTCTTTCTCCCCTCTCCCCCACCCTACGCCCTAGCCTGTCCTTAGTCGAGTTTAATACAACTCTGGACTGGAGACCTCTTCGGTTCTAGACCCCTCCTGTTCAGGTACTTCGAACACCGGTATTAGGAGAAAAGGAGTCATTTCTCAGCGTGTGCAGAAATTCGAAGTCTCAGGTTCCCTTCCCTCTTTCTCCAAGTGTAAGCTGAGAACAACATTTGGGTCCTTTCCCCAGCTAGGTCGTCTAGGGTTGTAGGAGGTGGGCCTACTGGGGCGCATGGGATGGCCCTAAAACCCTCCATTTCTCCCTCGGTTGCCCCCAAGTTCCCACCTGCAAGGGTACTCCCTCAGGGTAAATCCAGGGAGCAAAAAAGAAGGCCGGATGCGGACACCTTCTGCTGTATCCCCAGGTCCCCTGGCCGCACCCCAGCTTCCTGAACGGACCCCTTCTCCCCCACACAAATGTGCCCCCCCAAGACAGGAAGCGTCAAGGCCCAGGGTGCAGAGGCTTGCAGGGTCGTCCACTCCCGTCTCCCCAGGACCCTGCCTGGAGGACGCGGGTCTCACGTGGGCGGGGCAGGGGCGGGGCGCGGACTCACCCGCAGGAGCGCGGGCCGGGAGGCAGCGGCCTCGGCCTAGCAGCAGCGCCCGCAGAGGCGCCTCGTCGTTCTCCGGCGGGTGGCATCGCAGTCCTGGGGCGCAGTTAGGGGTATAGACCCCGCACTTCTGCCCCTCCCTCCTGAGACAGCCCTCAGCGTCCGAGCAGATCTCCGCTGGCGGCCCCCCATCCTCCTCCTCCACGCAGCCCCCTGGACAACCTGCCTGCACCCCCTGCCCGCAGCCTGGGCACCTCGCCAAGGTGCCTCCTGGGTTGGCAGCGAGCAGCAGAGCTAGCAGCAGCAGCGGCGGCAGCAGCCTGTGGGGGGTCATGGTCAGGGTTTGTGCCCGGTCCTCTCCTGTCAGAGCAGTCGCAGCTCTGCTGCTGCCCGCCGCCGCCCCTCTGTCTTAAGTAGCCACCGGCCAGGGGCC